TCAAAAGCACCTAAACAGGCTACAGGAAGGGGGAGGGGACCCGAAAAAAAATCCCGTAAAATGGTTTCCAATGTGCTAAGTGGATCGGTAAGACTGAAGCACTTTCTGGTTAGGTGGACTGATCAGATTTGCAGAAAGCTGCCAAAATGTCATTTCAGGTCACCCTGCACGGAGTTATGCAGACCTTTCCAATTCTTTAGAGATGGAAATAGAAATCCCTAACACAGATTCAGAAGATAGAAAAACCGCAATACTCACGATGACTGGGAAGCCTTTCTTCTGAGTAAATAGTCCACAACATCGGGGTCAGTCTCTAAAAGGCTGATCAGCACTTCGTTCTGGAGATCCGGGGGGACCTAGAGGGGCCAAATGATGAGTCATGAATAACACCATTTTGGAAAAGGTACAATATGGTCCTTAGCAACTTCACAATAGCATAAAACTGAGCCATACGTGTCGTAAGAGAGCAGAGTGACTTGCTGGTTAAAACCAAACCTATACCAATGCATACAGCCAGTTTAATCCTAAGGACAAGCTGGATGATTACCAAATAGTCATATTCAATCCAAAATGCCACCCCTCCTATGCCTGGGGACACAGTCTAATTACTTGGATGCCTCTGGTGCTCAGATTAGATTTTCTTGACTTTGACTAAGCAAAATACAGTGGGTTAAGAGGTACAGTGTCCATAATCTATTGTCTAAATGCGGACACTTTCTAGAGTTCATAGTGGTAATTATGCCAAGACGACAGGCATACATTATGACTGTCCTGGGTAGTTCTCGAACATATGGTCAATCTGTTAAGAGACAGGCATTTGAGCCAGGCTGACTATGTTTGAATCCCAGCTCCACCACTTACTAGCTGTGGGATCTTTGACAAGGTACACAACTTTTCTTGGTCTCAGTGTCCTCATCCGTAAAATGGGGATAATAATAGTACTCATCACGAAGTGTTGCTGTGGTTATTAAACGAATTATTACGTGTTAAGAACTTAGAACAGTACCTGGCCTATAGTAAATACTCAAAGACAACAACAACAACACGTTGTCTACTACACTTGTGCATGCCACTTTAACATTCTGTGCTGCCTTAACTCCTTTCCTGGACCCTGGGCCATCCCCAATTAATAGTCCCTTGCTTCCTAATTCCATGAGGCATTCACTAGAGTTCTATAACTGAGCATCACATACTTCTCGAAGCCCAACCCACAGTGCATTACAAGAGGCCTCACAGCCCTGATTCAGGCAGGTGGAAATGTTTGATGAGAGACGACTGAACCCAACTCCATTTGGTTTTCTACTCTGTAGATGCTGGCATCCCAACCAAAGGAAACCCAAACTATCAGGGTTAAATAAAGTTTCAGTCTGATTCTCTCACACATGGGCTCAAAGAGAAGACTCTTAATGACCACAAGGGCAAGTCTTCTGAGAATAAGTGGTTGGTGGAAGAATTTTCCTCTTGCTTCTTGCAGAACTCAACTGCTACTGAGTTCTGAGAAGCTGGAAATAATTTTATTAATAAAAACAGGGATGAGAAAACTCTTTCCTTTTCTCATAAATCTGTTCCACCTACTTCATCCTGCATCTTCGTTAATGACATCGCCAAACCCTAGTCACACAAGCTCACAATCTCAGAATTGTATTCAAGCCTCTGTGTCCTTTCCCCTCCCCACTCAGAGCCAGGAGATCAACTTGATTTCACCTTCATGATGCATGTTATTTCTTTCCTCTCTCTTCCATTCCAACTGAATTACCCAAGTTCAGATCCTAATTACTCCTTTGTAATGGTCATCTGTTGGCCATCATAAGCCTCCATTTCTCTCTTCTTGTAACTGTTATACCCCAATTTGCCTTTGGAGAATCAACTGCTCCCTAACCCTTAGCTCAAGGGTAAAGCATGCAGCCTAGTCTAAGTCGATCCATGCCCCAGACCACTGTGGTTGCATGTGACTGTGAACAATAGGCATGTGGTTCCATTAGAGGCAATAGAAAGCCATGAGAATGCCCCTGAGACTTCTGAGAGAGAGGTACAGGTCCTGGGATCTTGTGACCATATGGGGCCCGAGGACTATGCCAACCATTGAGGAAGCAGTATCAAGAAACAGAGACAGAGAGAAAAGGGAGCTCTTGACATCGAGTCCTACATAAAGCTATGCCTGAAGTCATGTTCCTTCTTGGATTGTTCAGCTATGTGAACCCAAGAATTCCTTAAGCTAGACTGAGTTGAGTTTTTACTTTAAAGGAAAGATACATCCTTGATGGTCCTTTGATGCAACAGCTTGCTAACTTGTGTACTAGCTATCTTCTTCAACATGTGCATCAAATTTCTTCTCCACATGATTGTCAGAATGCTCTGCTCAAGACACACGCTCACTCAAAAACCTTCTTCTCCCACCAGACTTAATGGTCTGACTGAGACTGGAGGAACCCCAGAAGACATGGCCCCTGGACTCTCTGTTAACCCAGAACTAAAAACATTCCCAAAGCCAACTCTTCATACAGAGATTAGACTGGACTATGGGACATAAAATGATACTCGTAAAGAGAATGCTTCTCAGCTCAAGTAGATACATGAGACTAAATGGGCAGCTCCTGTCCGGAGGTGAGATGAGAAGGCAGAGGGTCAGGAGTTGGTTGAATGGACACGGGAAATCAGAGGTGGAAAGGAAGAGTGTGCTGCCACTTTATATGGATAGCAACCAGGGTCACATAACAATGTGTGTATAAATTTTTGTATGAGAAACTAACTTGAGCTGTAAACTTTCACCTAAAATACAATTAAAAAAAACAAAAACACAACCTTTTGATTCCTACAGCTGAGGCCCTCCACTTACTTGCTGTCTTTAATATATATTTCTAGTCTCCTCTCCTAGGGGGCATTCTCACACATCCTCTACTTTAGCACTGTTGTGCTTCTCATTTTTGGCCTTTTCCCATCCCTATTACTCTAATTCATCACCTAAACATTTGATGAGGAGCCCTGGTGGTGCTTATTGAGTGCCAGGCACTGGATGCTGAAGACTCAGCTACAAACCGGACCAGAACCCTTGTCCTCATGGAGATCACATGGAGAAAAACAAAGCAGAGAAGAGTGATGGAGAACGCTGCGGGGAGCTGAGGCCACAAAGAAACTGACATTTCACCAGAGAACCGAGGTTGGTGAAAGAGTTGGAGAAAATCATTCCAGACAGAAGGAAAAATAAAAACCAACTGTAAAAATCTTGATTCAGAATCAGCGAGGAGGTCAGTGAGGTTGGAAAAGCGTGAGGAAGGAGGCGAGCAGTAGAAACTGGGTCAGCAAGGAGGCCAGGGCCAGATGTTGTGGACTCTCATGGATCGTGTTAAGGGCATCTGCTCTCATTCTAAGTGGGACGGGGAGCCACTGGAGGTTTGAGCAGAGGACGGACAGGAACTGGCATCACTCTGGCTGTTGACTTGAGCACGGACAGCAGGGAAGCAAAGAGAGCAGACAGGAGCTGTTGAAATAATCCAGATGAGAGATGATGGAATGCTGAAGCAGGAGGGTGAGGTGATGAGAAATATTTGGATCCTGGAGATAGTGAAGATAAAGAAGATTGTGTTAGCATATTTATTGAATGGATGGATGGATGGATAGAGAAAGAGGAAGAAGAAGAAGAGGAAGGAGAAGTAGAAGGAGAGGGAGAAGTAGTAGTAGAAGAATTAGAAGAAAAAAAAAGATGACTTCAAAGTCTGGGGCCTAGGCAACTAGAAGGCTGGCTGGCACTGACTGGTATGGAGAAGCTGCAGGAGGAGAAGGCTGGGGGACAAGACTAGGAGTTTGGCTTTGACATATTAAGGTTCAGAGGCCTGTGAAACACCCATGTGAGGAAGATATCTAGTAGGCAGTTGCGTATGAGGGTCTGGAGTTCAGGGAAGAGGTCCGGGCTGGAGATAGAAATTTGGGAGACACACATAGATAGTATTTAAAGCTCTCTGACTGTATGCAATGGCCTGGGAATGAAAATGGAAAGAAAAGAGAAGAGGGCGGGACTTTTAGGTCAGGGCTGAGAGTTTCCATTCTTTTACTTTATAGACCAAATTCAACAGATCAAACGACTGATAATTTCTACTGTAATTTTTTCAAACATGACCCAATAGATACGTACTATTATATCAATTTCTTTTAAAGGTACTACCTAAGGGTTGAAAACAAGGAGAGAACTCACTGAAAAATGAGCAGTGAGGCAAAAACAATACAGTCCAAAAATGTATACCCGGACCTCTTTTAAAAAGAATCTTCCATAAGCAAATTTGGAAATGTACATACAGTTTCCTCTAGTTATTTCAGTTTAAACTTGCTATGTGTAAACTCATTGCCCTCGAGTCGATTCTGACTCACAGCGACTGTATAGGACAGAGTAGAACTGCCCCATAGGGTTTCCAAGCAGCAGCTGGTGGATTCAAATTGCTGACCTTTTGGTTAGCAGCTGAACGCTTAACCACTGCGCCACCAGTGCCCCTTGCTATGATTAGACATGTAATAAAAACTTCTGTTCCAAGCATTAATCCATTCCCACTAACAAATAAACAACGGAAAACATATGTCTTTTGGAGTGGAGCAAGCATCATAATATTAATTCTTGAAGGGTAGATGGATATGTCTGAGATAAATTATCCATTTGGATGCATTATGAGAACAGTTTAGAGGATGTACCATTATTGTAAAAATAACTGTACATTCATTTTGTTAAAATATTCTATAGTTCCAAAAAGTTTTTACTCACTCAACTAGCCTTAACTCCCAATAATTATTGAGATCTAGTCCCTGCAGAAATTCATGCATGATTCAGAAGAGGATGTGGAACCAGGGATATCATTGCTGATGTCAGATGGATCCTGGCTGAAAGCAGAGAATACCAGAAAGATGTTTACCTGTGTTTTATTGACTATGCTAAGGCATTCGACTGTGTGGATCATAACAAATTATGGATAACACTGCGAAGAATGGGAATTCCAGAACACTTAATTGCGCTCATGCAGAACCTGTGCATAGACCAAGAGACAGTCGTTTGAACAGAACAAGGGGATACTGCATGGTTTAAAGTCAGGAAAGGTGTGTGTCAGGGTTGTATCCTTTCACCATACTTATTCAGTTTGTATGCTGATTGAGAGGCTGGACTATATGAAGAAGAATGGGGCATCAGGATTGGAGGAAGACTCATTAATAACCTGCGTTATGCAGATGACACAACCTTGCTTGCTGTAAGTGAAGAGGACTTGAAGCACTTACTGATGAAGATCAAAAACTATAGCCTTCAGTATGGATTACATCCTCAACATAAAGGGAAAAACAAAAAACAAAAAACAAAACCTCACAACTGGACCAATAAGCA